TGCTAGTTGTATTACGATAATAACGCGAAGTACCGAATAAATGTTCAAGTGTTTAAACAATCTTGCCTTTTTAGTAGAATTATGCATGTTGCAACGTATTCTAAGCAACGATAACTACGAAACATTAGAAACAGAGGTAGTAGGAAAGTTTAGGTTTCCGAGTGAAACGAGTCAGTGTTGGTCGGACAGCGCCTCGCCGCTAAGTAATACAAGCGCATAACTTGCGAAACTGTCTGTTGTACTTGCATAAAACGCTCAAGTATTTTATTCAAATATATTCTAATTATTCTTAACCGCATCCGTGAACACGTAGAAGCTAAGCACACTGTCTAAATCGAATACTTTCAACGTACCGTTAACAAACAGAAAACTCGTACGTCGAGCACAAGGGAATTCAATTTTCTCTCGAAATATCCTCGTTCGGAAATTTTAATCGATTTTTCAAATTCGAATCGCGCGTATCTACTCGCTAAATATCCGACGTAAGTTTCCAACAAAGCGATTCTCGAGGTCGTTTTACCTAAAAAAGGCGAATGTCTCGATCGGTCTTTAGACCTGCAATTGTTCATCTCGTATCGCGCCTCTCTTTCTTTCGCTTGCTTTTCTCAAACTTCGTTTTTCCGCGGCGATACGGAATAATGCACGCGATGCAATGCCGAGGAAAAGCGCCAAGTCAGAATCGTCGAGTGTTTGCAAGTCTCGAAAAAATGGGTCGATTGATACTCGCGAGATCTCGCGCCCAACGAGGATATCCGCGTCGATTGTGCCTCCGCCCTCTGTCGAATCGAGAGGAGGAAGATATCCGCGAAATATATCTCCGAGTGATTACTCGATAAATCCCAGCGATTCGATCGGAAAACCGCAGAGAGGAACCACTATCTTAATTAGTCCAAGCACAGTCGTCGATGAAATTGACGAGTTAATGCGTTCGTTTACCGCTTCGTTGCCTAGCTTTTAAATAAATTTCATCTTTATAAATACGTTGTGATATTGTTTTCAGATCGATATCGATATCTATGCAGTGAGAATAATTTTGTATCTTCACGGTATAGAGATCGGTGTACGTAGAGTAATTTCAAGATTTCAAAATTCAGTAAGCAATTTCTCGTCCACCAAGTGACATCGAAATTATAAAATTGACGATAATGGACTTGCCTCGTTCTTCTCTTGGGCTCTTCGTATGTTGGAATTTAGATTTCGATCGTTTCAATTCCAAAGATTTTCAATTTTCAACCGCTTTCTGCTACAAGTACTGTTGAAATACAGATGTCTCGACGTCCATCGAAAATATTTAATACAAACGTAGTTAAATGAAATTTGTAACTTAAACGAACGAGAAAAACATGAAAAAATGATTACATCGACGAGAAAGTATCTTCTATAAAATTCATTCCGAATTAAAAGAACGAAATCTTTATGCTCGTAAAACGCACATATATCGTTCTTCTCTTATTTTAAGGCAAAAAATATTAAAAAAGTTATTTTTGCACTCTCGCCATCGAAACCACCGAGGTAATTCTACTCGACCAACCAAACCGACAATCCTTGCGCACTAAACTTCTCCATATTCAGTGGTCTCTCTCCAACATCGATCTACCGGTTCGCATAACTCAACGAAAAATAGTCCTTACGCGAAGGAAAAACGTCCTGTCGAGCCATCATCCCGGAGGGGTAACAATCACACCGTGTTTGAACAAAGGATTTAAAGAAGAACTCTCGACGTGAACGCTCGACCAACTTTTTCGGAGATCGAAATCCGACCGGCCGTTTAAATATTCGCGTGGTTCGATCGCGTACGCGGGGATCTTCCGTGAGTTAAAAAATGAGGTCCCGTAGCTGGGTCCACGGTGGAGCGACAATGTCAATACGACGTATAACGATTTTCATATTCGCCGAGGCAAGAAGTCGCTGCTGATTCCTCGTCGGTATCCAGGACACGCTCTCCGCGGTTCCATCGGAATTCCCGATCAGTTTTCCTTCCCCCTGGACAGCGGCAAAATTTCCACCGCGGAAGCAAAGAGAAAAGATCGAACGAACAGATGAACGTTTCCAGAAGGGGTGAGACGAAGAGAAAAGCCGATGCGCGCTAGTCGATTCGATCGTTGCTGGGTTCTCCTATCGGCAGGCTTGTGGAAGCTGCTTGTGCAGCTATAACAAGGTAGATTCTGAGTGACATAATTAGGTGATTAATACTCGGCTAGAATCGTATGCGTTGCTTCGTTTCTGACAGATCTTAATGCATGTGGATGCTGCATTGTCCTTGCGTCAATGCAGCGATAACGTATTGAATTTATTTGGTAGAATAGGGTAGACTATATCGAAGACAGATGGAAGCTAAATTAAAGTAGCATTCGTAATTAAGGAATAAGGAAAAATAAGGATTATATCCGCGTTTAACGATTTTTCGGTATATAGTGAACTGGCTGAAAAGAAAGTTATACAAAGTTTATACGAAAGGATAACGAGCAAGATCGAAAGATACGTTGCTACTTGTAGAAAATCATGATCGTGTCGGTGTCTCATATTTTTGGTGAACACTCGAAGGGTTAAACGATGATAAATAGAACTGCGGAAATATAGAGTCACGAAAGAATGGCAAAACAAAAATGATCGGAAACAGACAATGTACGTTTTGTACTAAAAGGAGAACGACGAATGTTGCGAAAGTCAAACTCGTGACGAAAGGAGTAGAGAAGGTAGGAGTATCGCGTTAAAAATTTTAGAAGCAAAGTCGGTTTACTTACGATAACAAAAGCAAGCAAGCTATGATTTTCATAGCTATCCGGTACGTATAAGTTTATATTTAAGTGACGCGAGTCCTTCCGTCGATACTAGACAAATATCTAAGCGTACTTATCGTTTTCCGATGCGACGCACGCGATCGTTGGAAAAAAATACCTCGTCCTTTGTACGCTCTTACGTCAAACTGCTTACCTGTTTCGGGTTCTCCCGGTGGACACCGTTAAATTGGAAAACATACGGTGACAACCTCGTGAAACTGCTTCTACTCGGCTAATGCTGACGTATGGATTCGCCGTAAGGGTGCAGAAATTACGTATAAGGAATGAACGAGACCTAAAATGTGGATGGCGACAGCTCTAAATCGATAACCTTCGTTAATATTATATGGCGGAATCGAACGTTAGAAAATCGAACGATTGAAAAATTGAATTTACTGGCTTCAGAGAAGCAGCGACGCTTTTTCCTAACAATCGATATTGGAGAACTTGATGGAGGCGTGGCTTAGATCTCGGCGCTCCAGTGATAAGTAGCGAACTGCCGAAAGTAAATCCTTCGATCTTTTCGTTCGTTTATTCGAATTAGCTGATTAATTTACATTCCAAATACTCGGTAGCGTTTAACAATATTAAGATCCTTTCTAATTGACAAAAATGTTCTTCCAGAGCTATCCTATTCGATAGTCTTTTTTTCTCGTTCGGAAGTTTCAACAGCTGTGGATATACTTACCGCATCGGAATCTCGAAGTAAACAGCGAAGATCGCTTTTTACAACTTTTTTATTCGAAACTATAGTGGAAATTTAAACCATACGTTTATACGTATATATATATTCTGAAGATTTCAGCGAGATCGATTAACGTCGCTATGGGCTAGAAACTGTTAAAAATAGCGAAAACCGTGGTTTTTCGCGATATTCTGCCCGATAATTGTAATAAAATAATCTACCTACATCTTTCGGTGTTCGTTTTACATCGATCGACTTCGTTGAAATTTCCAGTATGCTATAAATCTTTAAAACGTGTTGTTTAAATTTTCTATACAGATAGAAAGAGCGGAGGGAGACGATAAAGTTTAAAAAACGACCTTTCCTTTTTTTCCTCGCGATTCCGATTAATTGCTATTTTTTCAAAAAATTTTTGCACGTCATCTAGCAAACTAATTCCTCTAACTTCTCGAAAAAGCTGACGTCGTTTGGCCCAATTTCTAAAAAGCCATTTCATTTTAAAGAGCGTTCGAATATATATGTTATTTATAGTATTTTGTCTAGGACAGAAAAGTCCATTGCGTAAATTTCCATAACTGCTTAAACGATTATATGACTCTTATGACGTCGATCGATTTAAAGGAACTAGAACAAATTTAAAAACACTCGTTTTTCGCAACGTGTCCATTTAAACTTTGATGATCACATGGATGCCCGACCTACTCTCAGGAGCTTAATTTTCTGTCGCTAATTGGCCTATCGAAATTCTCGGTTTCCCAATACAAAATGTACAGTATAACCCAATATAGTACTCGATGTACAGTGGCTCGTGAAAGTATTCGAAAGCTTTTATGTCCATATTATATGTTTCGTATAAAGCGTTTTAAAACTTCATTAACGCTGCAACGGGACACGATCGTCGTAATTGTATCGGTGAAATTTGAAACCAACGTCGTATGTAAGCTGTTCGTTGCTTTTCCCTTCTTCGGCGTTGTTATTCTTTTAACCTCCTATTATATATATTATATGGATATATATTTCAAAAATTTTGCAAAAATGTTTCTTCGAAATTTCAAGATCGTGCCTTGTCGTCGAAACTGCTTACAAGTATTTCTCTTAGCATCGAATATCGCTTACAAACACGAGAACTTGACTGCGTTACTCAAAATTCTTTTACCGCTTGAAGCATATCAGCGAGTAATTACTCTCGCGCAATATCGTGTGTACCTATTCATTCAACGGTTACAAACGTGAATAGACGGATGTTGCGAACGAACAGAAACGCCAATATGTACTGCCAGTTGTCAATTGTCTGTCCAATACTTGTAAACAACGGGAAACGCAGATCTCCAGAGACTGGGGGATATCGCGACAAGGTATCAGGTGTGCGCGATCAACGGTATAGATGTACGGATTAACGAATAGCGCAAAATTTTCGAATAAACAATATCGAAAAGTTAAACGTTTCGTATCGCGACGAAGCTTGTGTTTACGATTACGGTAGAATTAGCGATACAATTGTAATTAACCATGTGAAAAATCGTTGTCGATTCCAGATCTGCCGCTAATAACGGATTCGGTATCGACGAAATCGACGACGGCGGCAAAGCGATCGGTACCGACGGACGCGCCGATGTTGAACTACATTTTCGATGCGCACAGCACGCTAAACAAGCATCAACATCATCACGATCATCGGTGGGGTCCTCATTTCGAAGGGGAGAGCAAGAACATGACTGTGCAAGCTGGTGGAAGCGCCATCCTCGACTGCAGGATATCCTTGCTACAGGATAAAACCGTGAGTTTCCTCCTTCTTCGTCCGTATCGTATATACGTGCGTACATCGTCGCTATTCGTATAAGTAGCGGGACACTTAGAGAAAGTAAAGTCGTTAAATCGTGATCGATGGATCGTTTCCTTGGTAATCTAAACCGATTATCACGTTTTACATGAAACCAGAAGATTGCTATTTAGTTAATCTTAGCGCTTACGAGCGAGAGAGTACAGCGTACATACAGCCGAGCTAATCGTCAATTACGTCCATATCGACTTTTATCGGATTAACTTTTTTTAAATTAAGCGATTAGTCTGGATCGAACTGATCGGTTCGATTCGGTAGGTATGTCAACTGTGAAACAGAATGACTACTGCAATACGCGAATTATAGATGAAAATACATAGCGTGTATAGAGAGTATCCGATACAAAAATATGTAAAATATGTACAAACAGCGGGGAACGTATGGAAATGTATGCAAAGATATGAAAAACATTTTATAATATGCGAAAGTAGGCAAAAGGTCTTGTATATTTCTACTTATACGAATGTTTCTGGACATTTTCACATAGCCTTCGCATATTTCTCCATACGTTTTCCATAGCTTTGCATCTTTTCTGCATATCTTAGCAGTTTAATAGTCGAGGTCTCGCATTTTGCCGGCTTACCGTTCGCGGAAAATTAGAAAGACGATAACTCGCAATCAATCTTGTAAACTGTAGTAAAGTTCGTTTTGCAGGAAGATAGGCGAGCACGATTTATTCTAATTAATTTCTTTGCGTTCTCCGGATCTTATATCCCGGCTGCGGCGGGACTTGCGGCAAGCTAGACGCATCTATCGCAGTTGGAGCAATCGCGCCGTTCGAATTAATTTAATATCCGGCCTTATTATACGTGTCCCGGTGAGGTTGAATAGGAATTATCCGCTGCCGGCGAGCTTTCACGCGAATTTCCCTCCTAATCGTTCGCGTCTATACTCTCTGAAATCTGATCGTTTTCTGTTCCCAGTATTTTTATAAATTCCTACGCTACATACATTATTAGATGCATTTTTATATATTTTTCTCTTTCTTTAACGTCGAATTGAAGTACAACGGTGATAAACGATAAAAATATCATTTGTGTTTTTTTCTCGATTACGGTCTCACAAACATATAATATTTACTGAAATAAACTGTTTAAACTATTTAAATCGATAAAATTCTTTTTCCTCTAATATTTTACATAATTTTCTATAGGTCTGTATACGTATACCTGCTCGTATATGTCGCGCAGCTTACATTCGCGCCAAGCATTGGACTGCTGCGTAATTAATACTCGTAGATAAAATATCGAAGAAATCAATTTTTAGAATTTTTAGACTTTGCGCCTATAGTAAAAAAAAAACACGATACGTTTCTCAGAGAAATGCCTGAAACCGAGCATCGCGTCCAAATTTTTAGTACGCGTAATTTTCGATCATTGTCTAACTTCGATAAAAAAGAGAATGCTCCTTTCGGGTCATGGTCTCGAGAGAGAGTATCTAGCCCGTCATTAGCTTCCTTTGTTAAGGTCAGCTGAAAACGTTGTAACATAATACTTAGGCGGAAAGAGGGTATGTGACGAGCAAAAAACCCAGGATGGTAAAAAGTAATGTGCTGCTGAAAATGGGCACATAACGCGCACAACAAGCGTAATCGTAAGCATGTCGAAACATGTGCTCGCACAATGCCAGTATTTTCCCTAGTATTAAGTAACAGCGAAGATTTAATTAAAAAAAAAAAATCTTGAAATTTATGTCTAATTAATAACACGATTCAAATACTTTTATGGACAATTTTAAAAATTAGATCGGTCGATTATAGCCCCGTTGGTTTTATTTTACGTTTAAATTAATTAATAACGTATAATTCGAAACTTTTTCCAGCTCGTATGGTTCTTACAAGATATAGATAAATCTGTATTACCCAATTTTTAAGACAAGATCAAATTTATTTAAAATATAGTAGAAATCTCGATGCGTTTTATACAACATTTTCTAAAGTATAGTTTATAAATAAAAAGTCATGCAACGATGCTATTATTTAAAATTAAATTAATTAGGATTATAAGGTAACGCGTGTAGTTATTACATCCTAATTAGACTGTTAAGCATATCGTTATAACGTAAGTAGCTGCCTAGTAAGCGATCTATATAAAAATGCAGAGTACGAGTTAAATGTAGACGTATAAATATTCGTAGACTAACGACGACACAACGACACGGCACAGGGTCGTGGTTTGCGAAGGGACAACTTGGATAAATTCAAGACTCGGTACGTAAGCCGGATGACATGCGACGGCGAATATCTTTTCGAACGAATTTACCGATGCTGACTCGAAACAAGGGAACGACGACGACGACGACGACTAACTCTGTAGAAACTCGTCCAGTAGTTATATCCTAAAAGCATCGCACTTGGCTGAACCACGGTCGAGCTCGCCTCAGCGTAATATTAGGCTATTAATGTCGTTGCTGTTGCTGGTACTGCCAACGACGGTGTCGACTAACGCGATTATCCATGCATGATTATCTTGAAAGTGCATAACTCGGCTAAAGACGATATTTATTGCTGTAGGTCGTTCGAGTCGCTGCAGGACAATTCCAGCCTCTGTTTATGACTCGTGACTCCATCGCCGACTCGGATTTCGACGTACAATAACTTCACGGTCCCACTGGTAGTTGCTCCGTTGTCAAGTTTTCCATTACAAATTCCCAAAAAACCAAACTGAAAATCTGAAAGAAAAATTTCAAAGTATACGATAAAAAAAGTAGATTAATGCAACTTTTAAATGGGAAAGTGACTTACGCAGCAGCTTGTACAAATATCTGCCAATTCCACTGCTCGTATAAAGCATGTAATACGATTTTTAGGAACAGTACAGATTTTTAGAAGAATACCTTAGAAGAGAACTTGCGACTTAATAAGAAATCGTTTTAAGGTATTTGTATTTTAAATGATTTCTAACAGCAAAACGATATCGTTTTAGCGAGCAATAATTCTTCGTACTGCTCTGAAATCATAGGTGACGAGATTCGAGGATTTGGAAAAAATTTAATTTAGTAGATAGTATCGGTGAGAATTTTGTATCAAATATTTCACGTTTCAGGGAAGAAGATGGGAAAAGCGATCGATCACGATCAGTAACGATCACGCGCATCATTGATAGCTGCCCATACGCAGCAATCTCTATTGAACGGACAATAGCGAGCTTGATATCCATGTCGATATCGCGCGCACTTAATGGGAATACCAGGAAACACTATCCAATTTCAGTTACGTGGATAAACTGCGGATTTCGAATCCTTGTTTATCGTAGCCCGATTGTATGCACGGCTCAAGCATAACGAGTAATCGGACAGTACGTCCTGCTTCTGTTTTCTGCGCTGTATTCGGATACTCTTCTATGCGAACCAAGAATTAGTTGTTGCGGTGTTATATATAGATATCCTTGCGCTATATAAGCGTTTAGATACCGCGGGCATACAGCTACATGTATCGATCCTTTAGCAATCGGCATATTCTCCTAGCGTTACTAGCGCGACTAATCGAAGCAAACGGTTAATAAATATTTACCATAGCGGCTTTGAAAAGAAATTTCAAATGCCGCCACTGTGACGACATCCGACTTCAAAGACTTCGAAGAGTGACACAGCTCGAACAAACTTTTTAGGAAATCAGCAACTATCTAGAAACTTGGCAAAACGTGATTTACTAAACGCGTAACGTTAGCGAAATTTAGCGAAGAGAATAAACCGTAGGAAACAATGGTCAATTATTATTGTCGTGACATTTTTATTCTTAGCGTTCTTCGAATCTGCCTCCGATGTTGCGACACTTTTGAACTCTTATGTGCGACGCGTTAATGCCGATATTCTGGTAAATTGATCGAACAATCGTTTATGAAACAAGGTGGAATAATCTGTTGACAGGTGTCTTGGGTACGTAGACAAGATAACGGGGAAAAGGTGAATCTGCTGACGGTGGGGCAGCAGACGTACATAGGAGATCCAAGATACACGGTGAAGTTCCAATACCCGGACAACTGGCGCCTACAAATCGAGCCCGTGAACAGTAGCGACGAGGGCCAGTACGAGTGCCAAGTCAGCACTCATCCGCCCAAGTATATTCACGTGAATCTTCACATCAACGGTAAGTACAGCGATAATTCACTTTTACGATCGCGTCCGTATCGTAAAAGCTAACTCTCGCGTCACGTACCTCTCGACCAAGAAAATTCCACATATTACGGGATATACTACAATTCGCCGATGAAACGTCTTTTCATGAAACGTCAAAGCACTGCTAAATGATACAAAATTTAATATACTTTGATGTAATTACGTAATTAGTACGTGAATGCTACAATGGTAAAAGCTTTGTTTTACTAAAATTCTTTCGTCTAATCGTAAAGTATCGTAAAAATCAGATCGACGAGCCTGTACTTGTCATATTTTTCATAGTCATTTTCATGCTATGATCTTTACTTATTATCATCTTCCATCTACGACGTCGGGACGAAAAGCTGCGATAAATCAATATTTCTTTAAGAGATCGATGATCTTATTACCCTGTTTTTCTCTATCACGTACACCCACAAAAGGGACGACCATACAAAAGTAAGATTATCGACAAAACTTATCCGCAGTTTCTCCCGCTCTACATTTATTCCTCCAGTATACACCGAGTAATATTTGTTCGCCTCGTTTACTCTGTCAACTTAGTTAACTTTGTTTGCCAGTCTGCTTATGTAGCCGCTTCGACGCGGTTCGATTTATTTCCGCTCGCGCCTTAACGACGTTCATTATCGACGATTCTTCCGGGAAAAATACATTCGATCGAACTTTCTGTTGCGTCTTTTGCGCGCTCATTGACACGCGCGCATCCCCAATAAACACAAAGAGATTAGCTCCAGTAAACGATAATACAATGCGGAGTAAATTGAGAATAAATTGAGATACAAACGGTCGTCTTGCGAAACGGAATTACCGCTGGAAGAGGGAACGAAGTCGGGAGAGACAAGAAGAGAAAACGAAACGACTTAAGTAGTCGCGTGGGGCCGACGGAAAAATTGACTTGATCCACCAAACGAATCGCGTTTTAAGGAAGCAGATCGGCGTGAAAATGATATATGTACTTCGAGCGTCGGTTGATATAAGTCCACTTCTATTCTCTCTCTCTCTCTCTCTCCCTCTCCTTCCCTATATGACCCGAAATCAACGATGTATTAGAAATTAAATAGTTTTTAAATATTTGGTTTTGCCATTCGATGTAATATCCGTTACCCTTTGTGTATATCGCGCATTTTACGAGTAACTAGTAGATATTCCTAAGAAAGAAAATATTTTATTCCTAAGTAGAGACACGAGCGCGAAAAACCGAGAAAATAAAATAGAATGTTTTCGGTCGTAAAATGTAAATGTGATATAAATTAGCGACACGTAGGTCGCGGATGTTTGTGCATGTTTGGAAATTTAAGAAATTTTCATATTCGATAAATATGATACAACGATATGAAATATATATCAAATACCGAAATCGTGGTATTCTCTCTAACATTTGGTACCTGAGACAATTTTCTATCCGAATTCCATTTTTTATTTAATTCCTAAAAATATGAATTTGCATAAATATCCGCAGTTTATCGATATAATTCTTACTAGTAAATTCTTCGAAACGCTGGAACGTTCGATTGCTGGTAAAAGCGCAACGAAAGATCTTTAATTCGGATCTTAAATATCAGAGCTGTTGTTCGTAATTGAAGGAGTAAAATGGCCGACTTCTCGAAAACTTTAAACGAATCGCACCATGGTTTACTTATATCGTATTACGTTCCATCTGCCAGAACTAGAAACAGCTGAGTTAAATAATTAAAGCTGTCGGCGTTGTACCTAAGCTAGTTTCAGGAAAACTTAATTTCACCATTGCTACCGGCGGAGGAATTCCAAGCTCGAGAAATTTGTCCGTAGAAACTGATACGAACATCTTCGGTTTAGACTTCCATTCGCCGGATGTCGAATCGAACTAGTCGTCCTATTACTAACCACCGAATCAAACTAATTGACGCGTCGTTAGCTTTACGATCGATCTAATTATCGACTTAAGAGTCTTTACGATAACATAGATAGGAACGATCGATGAGAAAAATTGTACGTTTTTCTGTTTATGGAAAATATTCGTCTAAACGATGGTCGCCTTTGAAAGAAATTGGAAGAAATTTGGATAAATGCGATTAAAGCCAATTAGCAGTTTTTACGTAACGATAATTTCAATCGTATATCCAAATTATTCGATCAACTGTTTCATTTTCGAATTTTCTTATTTAACCATCTGTTAATTAATTTCCATAATCTCATTGTGATTCGGTTCACGCTGTAATATTCTATCTCTTACATTTTACATCGAAGCGCTCATCTAAATATTCGACCTTTTAAATTCATTTGCACCGATAACGATCAGAAGCTGACGGAGGGACATGAATATAAAGTTGTATCATGCACGAAAAGGCTAGAAATAGTATTTGCATTGGATTTTTGTCGCCAGTGGAGGTACAAGTATATTAAATTTTCTATTATTTAGTAGTACTCTCGCGTGAAACACAGAAAAATTTGATACTACGAAAATAATATTTGACGCAGGTTAAAAAATATTCAGATTTTGTTAATGTTCGTCCGGCGGAAACACTAACTCGACAAGTTCAACTGTATCCTCGAAGCGAAAAGAGAAATCCATTAGTTTTGCCGCTAGCAAAACGCGCTGGTCGTCGTCACGATGCAAATTAGAAGAAAAACGCAAGCTCTCTCGAGTTAAGATTTTTACCTCAATGATGCTGAGAGAATCGTTTAAATCGAACAACCGGAGAAATGCGATAAAAGGCTAAGGTGGGTAGCAAGGCGGAAAACAAAGAGAAAAAGACGCTCGAGTATTCAGCGTGAGATCGAGGAAATTGGCTACGGTATCTGCTATTTTCGGTGACTTACGGTGACACGAACTTCGCATTGGGAATCGGTCGCGGGACCGGAACGTCGAAGAAACGAAGCTATCACGATAGAAACGGAAAAGAAGGAGACAAAGTTTATTTGGCGCGAATTAAAGCTGAAACTCGTGATGTTAATCGGTTCGAACTTTATATTTAAGATTCTGAACAAGGTCTGATAATTTTTTAATCGAGTTTATCTTGTTTTTGATAATACTTACGAAGCGTAGGAGGGTGTACGTTCTTTGGGTATATGAACTTCTCAGTAGTCGAAATGGTCAACCAACTGCGCTTTTTGTCGGTTTCTCTGTCTTATTGCACGACTACGCGATTAATGTTAAATTTTGACAAAAAAAAAAAAAGAAATCACGCGTTTGCGTTTATTACGATAAGGTGGCTCAACGTCTAACTCTTTGGTTATTTTATAACGCAACGGGAAATTTCTAGGAAAAACCTCCCACGAAGAATATTTGCAATGTAAAATGTTTGCCGCGCTGAAAGCTCGACGAACACGTAAAACTACGCAAAATTACGCTAAACCATCATTGTGCGCCTAGCACAGTTCATCTCCGAGGAACGTGTAGACTATAAAAGCTTCGTGTTGTAATCATCTGGATAGAAGAGTCTCGCATAGTCCCATATACCGAGACTCGCTCGGCACGCTCACGAATATTAACAGTGTCTACGGTCGATGTGACCTGAATGGCGAAAATATTTTCCTCTCCGCGACTATGAGCCACGTCGGAGGATTTTTACAAAGAGCAGAATTCCACGGCTTCTTTTTTCCATGGCGGATCACGAACACGGGGTCGTATTCAGCCCTGGCCAGAAGGCAACTCTCGTCGAATGGTCAGCAGAGAGTGAAATACCCGACACGACCAGACGGCGACGACCAAACGACGATTTCGACGTACATCAAAGGAAACTCGTCTTCGACTTTTCATCGTTAATGTTCTCCCCGTCCACCTGTACCGACCACCAGAATTGAAACACTACTCGTCAGAGATGGATAATCGAACCGTCGACTCGATAAGAGGATTTAAACGTAGTCGTTTAAAAATCGATGGAGATGGCGACCTTTGTCGGAGCGCGATGTCTTTCGATTTAAGTATCCTCTTTTCTCTCAGAAATCTTTTGTTTCTACGGTCAGCCGTATAAATATGTACCTCGCGGCTATTCGAGATTTGCCTCGTGGACTATATAAAATTTTTATGAGACTTTATGTTACATCTGTTACTCGCAAGTATCTGAGATAGTAAAATGTGTCGTATATACACGCGCATATGGCGATATATACGCATATACGTATAGAGTAAAAATAAAAGATATAATAAAAATACGTGGAATATAATTTCAGAATAAGGTACTCGTTATAATCTCTACTCCGTCTCGTTGGGATTATTTATAAATATGCGCAACCTAATAACACGATCGGTGCAAAGCGTTAAAAGTTTGGATAATATAGATCGTAAATAGCGAGCAACGGATTTATCGCGTACCCCGCGTTAATTATCGAACAACGGACACTTTACAAATTAAACGAGGAAGCGCGAAATAATTCTGAAAGAAGTAAGGAGCCTGTTACCATCTTAAACCTGACCCTGAGATGAAGCACGTTAATTTTTTACCATAATTATTTCAACGTCGTTCTAATAAACCAGTCACGCCGTTCTTATATATAGCCGTTACTGTGTATCATCATTACCGATAGCCAGTTTACAAAATGCCGGCAAGCTGAAACGCTAGAAGATAAAACACCGAGGCGTCGAAGAGGAAGCTCGGTAACAGAGCGAAATAAAAGGGTACAGCTCGGGAGAAAGGAGAAAGAACAAAAGGCCGAGAGGCGGGCGCGGATGGAGAAACAGGATCGAAACTATTCGGTACATTCTGCTGCTGATCGGGTAAATTGGGTTCGTTCGGCGAATTTTTGCGGCTGCGAAGCGCTTAGGAGGATAATTGACGGAGAAATGGCATAGTCGGAATGGATGGAGAGCGGCAGAGTGGCTGGCAGCCGTTAGGAAAGAAGAACCTGGAGAAGCGGAAGAACTTCGTTTCGCTGGCTCGAGAGAAAGGGACGGCTAGTGGAATCGAGATACGTCGAGCTCCGTTCCTTGGAACAAAGGGAACGAGAAGAAGAAAGGGGGGACAAGGAGGGGCGAAAGTGGTACTTAGAGGT